CTCGGCTCACCGCAACCTCCGCCTCCTGGGTTCAGGCAATTCTCCTGCCTCAGCCTCCTGAGTAGCTGGGATTACAGGCACGCGCCACCATGCCCAGCTAATTTTTTGTATTTTTTAGCAGAGACGGGGTTTCACCATGTTGACCAGGATGGTCTCGATCTCTTGACCTCGTGATCCACCCGCCTCGGCCTCCCAAAGTGCTGGGATTACAGGCTTGAGCGACCGCGCCTGGCCTGGTATTCTTTTAATCCTTAACTGATTCTGAATTATATCTTGTCATTTTATATATATATATAATATATGTATATGATATATATAGGTATACATATATGTATATGATATATATATATATATATATATCATATACATGGAAATAAATCTTTATAAATTAAAGGTAATATAACTTCTAAGCTAAAACTATTATGTGTAATATGGTGAATATACTGGTATTTAGTTTGTTTACCACTGAAAAGCCCTATCTGTAGGTAGGAAGTAACTTGAATATGGAATGCTTTGATACTCAGAGTAAGAGGCTATGTGTATATCCTTGAGCTGGAGTTTGAGGAAAACTTACAGGAAATTAAAAGGAAAGTTGGAGTACTGGCAGAGGAGTGGGTAGGACTCATGAAAAAGGAATGAAGTTAGCTTAAATTCTGTCATCATGCGTTGAAGTGAAACTAGATTTATCTTAGTTTATAGCCGAGAATTCTATCCTCGGGGTCTAGATATATCCTAAATGTTGAGATAGCTGCATAAACGATAACTGTAATATTTATGATAAATAATGAAAAATCTTTTTAGCATGTTTTGTGAAGCTGTTAGAAGTTAAAAGAATGTCTTCAAATGTCAGAATTCTTTTTTCTTTGCTTCTTTTTTTTTTTAAAAAATTCTTTTTCCCCATTTCCATGAAATACACTGAAGACTGATCATTGAAATTTGTAGGCTAAAAAATTATCAACACAGAATAGTTTGGGGTTTGGGGTTTTTTGAGTCATGGTCTTCTGGGCAGTGAGACCATCATGGCTCATTGCAGGCTTGAATGCCTGGGTTCAAGTGATCCTCCCAAGCAGTTGGCATGCCATTATTTCTAACTAAATTTTAAAAGTTTTTGTAGAGATGGATGGGGTCTTGCTGTGTTGCCCAGGCTGGTCTTGAATTCCTGGACTCAGGTGATCCTTCTGCCTTGACCAGTAAGTGCTGGGCTTACAGATGTGAGCCACCATGCCCTGCCCCTAATTAATATTTTAGTTACCAATTTATCTTGTTTAAATTAGTTGGTAACACTTGGGGTTCACTTCAGAATATATTTTACATTACATGACTCTGACTGCTAATCTCCCCCTCCCAAAAGGCTAGTGTAATATAACAATAAGATGCACAGTCTTAAGTTTAAAATAAACTTAGGTTTTCAGTTGACCTGCTTTGTAAAATAGTTTGAAAAACACAAGAAAGAAGATAAAGAAGTTAAGATTTTGACATTTCTATAATATGCTCTTAACTTGTCTAAGGATTCATACTTTTTTTTGAAGCAGAGTCTCACACTGTTGCCCAAACTGGAGTGTAGTGGTGCAGTCCCCACTCACTGCAGCCTCTGTGTCTGGGCTCAAGTGGTCCTCCCGCTTCAGACCCCTTTCACCTCCCTACAGGTGCCCAGCACCATCCTGAGTTAATTTTTGTTTTTTTCTTTTTGGTAGAGATAAGATTCTTCCATGTTGCCCAGGCTGGTTTCAAGCTCCTGGGCTCAAGTGATCTGTCCTTGATTCACCGATTTATACCTTGATGCTCAGCCGATTCATACTTTTAAGTGAAAATTGTTCCAAGTTCCTCAAAAACAGTCAAGGCTTTTAGAGACCATTTATAACTGGATCTTTCTTTTTGTAGCACTGCTCATCAAACTAGTCCTAAGCTCTTGATGAGTTAAATTTGTATTTTGAATCTTGCTGTAAAAGGAGCCATTCATTAGAATGAAACATGCTTATTTAGAATTGGAGAGGGGACCTTACAAGTCATCTAGTCTACTATTCCCCTTTATGACACGTCTATATTCTTTCTGCATTTCTGCCATAATGTTGCCCAGTGTCTTCTCTAATATCTGTAGTCCTAATGAGAATACAAATTGTAGCTTGCATCCTTAATTTTACTCTTCTCTGCTTATTCGTCATTTGATGAAGACCTTAAATAGATCTTAAATTACTTCCTTCACTTTAGCTGAGAGTGATAGGACTGTGTAGGTTTGGGGGTGCCTCTGTATTTTCTTGTTTAAGCAGAATAATAAAAACTTTTACTATAGGAAATTAAACATTTCCCAGTCAAATACAATTTCAGTCTAACACAATTAAATTCTGGTTAAAGAGTGGGTTAACTTACTAGATGTGTAGGAAAATCCTATACTAGATGTATAGGAAAATCCTAAAGAAATGCAATTAGAACTCTATTTTTATACTTTATAAATATAAACCTCTGTGAACAAACCAGTTATTTCAGGTTGCATTTGTGTATAGGTTTTTAATGCCTTATTTTTCTATTTTAAAATCACAGATACAATATATACATGCAATTATATACAGATGCAATTATAAATATACATACAAAATAAAGCCACAATATTTTGAGAAAGTTAAAGTTTCCCCTACTCCTACACTGCGTACACCTTTCCCAGGTGTGTACCAAAGTTTGATGTGTAACTTTAGATTTCTTCCAAGAGCATTTAAGTAAGTGTTTGAGTTGTGATAAGATCCTTCAGTTAAATGAACTTCTTAGATGAGTTTTTTTAGTACAGTAGCATGAAATATACCCATGTACCTTTGGGGATACCTCTGTGCCATTATGATGGAAGGTAAGGGAAAACAGCACTCCGTATATACCTAGTTTACTTTCCCTTTTTGGTAAATTTGTCTAATTTTGTGGAGCTGACGCTTCTTAAGTGGAATCACAGGTTAATTTTTCCTTTACTCTTTTCTCATTTTATTATGGCTTCTTTAACTAGAGGTTGATATTAGTAGTTTGGACAATTCAGTACTAAGTAATAACTTCAGTAAGGGATCTCTAGAACCTAGTATTACTCCCTTAGTCCCTGTGATATTCCCATGTGCACATTGTTCCAGGTGCTGTGCTGGGTACTAAGAGATACAATGTTTGATAGACAGTGTACTTGCCATTATGGAGGTCACATTCTAGTGTGGGAAGACAAACAATACCAAGAAAATTAAAATTTACTGTGCCATGCCAGGTTGTTTAGCCTGGTGGGTTAGAGGTAGGGGTTGGAAAATCTTCCTGAGCAAATGACATTTGTGTGGAGCTCTGTAAAAGATCAAGCTTGGAAGGTAATGTCATCCAGGTGAGACATGATGGTTAGGGGAATAGAAAGAGTGGACGTTGAGACTGAAAAGAATTCCAGATCTATTTTAGCTGATAGGGCTTTGTGATTGAACGTGGAGGAAAAAGAAGATGGTGGGTTAGTAACACAGTTGCATTTAGTGAGTGCTGCTGTGTGCAAGTATGGTTCTATTATGTAAATAATTTCGTCTTTACAAGGTAGGCACCATTCTTCCTCTTTTACAGAGGAGGAAAAGGGAGTACCCATGATTCATATCTGTAGTCTAGCCAGGATTTAGCGCAAGACAGTTGGGTTTCAAGCATTCATTTTCTAAAGATGCTTTGTCTGACACTGATTGTATTGATTGAAGTGATATCCCTATTTCTCAAGGTATTCATCTAGGAGAGACATGAACTGACAATTACAATATAGGATAATACTGAAATTAGAGCATGTTTATTAGCTTTGCTGTACAGAGATAAAGTAACTTTTTAAAGTAACTCTGCTTGGGTTAGTGGAGAAGCATATAAGAACTACTTTGAATTTTTGCTTTGAACATGAATGTTTAGGGAAAAGAGGTTTTCAATTAATAACATAATAAACATGAAGTGATTGAAGCATGGCATTCAAGGCTCTCTAAGTCCTGCCCTGGTTAACTATTCCATTCCTTAGTTTCCTTCTAGTCTAGGTTTTCCCTCCCCATATTGGACTGCTCCTCTCTGGAATTCCAACTCAAGCCCAGCTTTTCTCCATCTGTCGTGCTTTCACCCCATCTCAATGTCAGGGTAACTTTTATGTAATATTAACATATAGCATACTAACATAACATTAGCATATTTTAATGTATGTATCATCCCCTCCGCAATATTGTAACCTCTTGAAGATGGCAGTAAAGGGAGAATGACTTGATTTTACTTTTTCTTTTAACAAAAATGGCAGAGTAGTCTGGGCATGGTGTGGCTCACACTTGTAATCCCAGCACTCTGGGAAGCCAAGGTGGGTGGATCGCTTGAGGTCAGGCATTCAAGACCAGCTTGGCCAACAATTGTGAAACCCTATCTCTACCAAAAACAAAAATTTGGTGGGCATGGTGTTTTTTGCCTGTAGTCCCAGCTAATTCGGAGGCTGAGGTGGGAGAATTGCTTGAACATGGGAGACGGAGGCTCCAACCTGGGTGACAGAGTGAGACCCTATCTCAAAAGAAAAAAAAATGGAGTACTCTAGGGGATTCTAGTCTGTATTTCTATGGAAATGTGAATGAATCTCACGTTTAAGGGATGGAAATTCCGAATGGCATTACTAGTTGATAAGTTTTGATCTAACAGGGTACACAGGTCTAGTGAGTCCAATTCATTGTTTCCCTAAAAAGATGGAGGAAGAAACATTAATTCTGCCCTCAAGAGTAAGGCAGAATGAGCAAGGCCAGAGAAGTTATAAGACAGACTCTCAAACAGCCAGCAGTACAGAGAAACCTTGGTTTACTTGTGAATAAAAACCGGTACTTTTTGTAATTTTTGAACCTATGCAATTCTCCAAGGTTTTATGTTGTTTCTTCTATTTCTCTGTAGGCACCAGAAATGAAAACCTCAAATAAGAATGTGTTGCTTGGAGATTTTAGAGTACTGTATATGTGTATAAGTGTAAGTAATATTTGGACGACAGCTTTACTGCGCTCCATCTTGGCATGAGAATTACAGGGGCAGAAAGAATTGAGGGTGATGATACCTGGACAGGAGAGTCGTATTAAGTCCCAGCCATGTACTAAGTGCTAACCACATAGTGTTAATAGATGCTGATCTACCCTAAAGTAACACATAATTTAGCAGTGCCAAAAGATGTCACTTAAAAGAAAACTTGAATGTATATTGAGATACTTCCCAAATTAAAGACATTCACAAAGAACTGAGGAAATAAAGGAGGAATACAACTATGTCCAAATGATTAACTGGGTGGGGGCTGTTGCATAGATAAGCAGGTGCTTCACCTGAAAGTTGCATGTGATACGGTGAATGCCAGCTCCTGGTGCACTTATGTATTGCGTTGCTTCTGGTCGTAATTCGTATTTATGTAGGAAAATTTTTTTTTGTTGGTTTTTACTTTTTTAACGGGTTCCTTATAATTCTGTGGTTGATATAAACAGTGAAAAAAATTACATAAGCTTCTAATATATGAGAAGCCTTCTCACTTGACATTTTTTATTTGAAATTTTTGCAGAGAATAGTTTTGTCACAGTCAAAAGATTTGGGGATCTTGGAGTGAGAAACCTGGGTGTAATTCCTATTTCTCTGTCATTCTGTATGTCATCTGGAGCAAGTGTCAACTTCTTAATCTCAAGATTCTCATCCTTACATAAAATACTTTTTGCCATGCAATTTTGAAGGCAAAATGAGGTAATATGTGAAACTGCCTAGCTCAGTGGCTGGTACATCATAGAAAAAACACACCCTCTAAAATGAGAGCAATACCAGAAGACAAATGGGATATAAAATGAGGGCAGTACCAAGAGACACATACATGCCGAGTGTATGAGAAGAACTTGATGGCCCCCCTGGGTGGCCCAGGCCATTGCATCTCCACAGTGTGCCAGCTCCACGGTGTGACGTGGTTGCACACACGCAACCCCAGCACGTATGTAGAGCATACATGCTGTTCCCCATTACTGCCTGGCTTTGATGCTTTTTTTCTTCAGCTGAGAGGATGCAGCTGTGATGTGAAGACCTTGTGTATACAGTCATGACCTCACATTTCCAATTTCCTGCTGGCAGAGCCTACAGCCTACAATGTATGAGCACAGAGTTGGCCTGAGACAGACAGCCTACAGAGGTGGTTGGTAACATCCTTCTGGAAAACACTGTGTAAGCTTTCAGTGTGAATAAACATGAGCTGTGGCAAGTTCTGTTAGATGTAGTCTGCAAGCGTCCTGATTTTACTGAACAAGACTGTTAATTTACAGGTGGCTGATGATTCCATGGTTAGCCCAGTACTAGTATTTTTTGCAAATTTAACAAGACATTCTTACTGGAAGATTGCCCTGTCTTTACGTTAGTGCTGCCCTTTTAGCTTCATTTGCTGTTCAGGCTAACCTTGGAGACTACAGTCAGAGAACTTCGTAGGCCACCTATCAGGTTATTCTTTCGTTCCTGATCATCCTCAAACTTTTGAAAAAGAAACTGTAAAATTACATCAGCAACATATGTGTTTATGTCCTTGAGAAGCAGAAGTTAATTACCTAAACACAGCAAGTACCTTAGAACTCTGTGGAGTTGAATTCCTCTATGCGAGGGATCAAAGTAACAATGAAATTATGATTGGAATGATGTCAGGAGGAATTCTAATTTATAACAGGTTATGAATGAGTACCTTTCCAGGGTTGAAGATTGTTAAAATTTGTTTTAAGTGCAAACAGTTTTTTGTTCAACTCTGAAAATGACTTGCATAAATCTAGAGAAAGATTATCAGGATTTAATATGGTGACTTATAGAACATGTAAACATTTGTGGAAAGCAAGTGTAGAACACCACATATTCTTCTGTTTGGGCAGACCACTTCCCACTAGAAAGAATTTTTTTGCACACCATTTTATATTCGGTTCAAAATTCCTAGTGCACAGTGGGAGAACTGAAGTTCAGTTAGTTCAGTATGGCAAAGAAAAGGCAGACAGACTACTTGTAGGATCCTCATATAAGCCACTGACTTGGAAATGAATGCATTGGGAAGTAGTAAGCAGGAATTCAACATCTGGTGAAAAGGATAGAAACACAAAGTCTTCCATCACAGTTGCCACCTAGAACAGGAATTCTTAATCATTAAAATTCTGCATTCACACAAGAGGGAACCTGGTTATGACCATCTTCAGTTGGTCATTTGGTGGACCATGTGGTTCACATTTCCTCCAAAGTATTTGTCAATCAGAGATCACTATTATCGGCACAAGCTAATAGCATCATTCTGGAATCATCACCATTACAAGAGACCCCTGGAGATGGACAGGCTCTGGCTTTACCACCCAAACAATCTAAGAAAAACAGTTGGAACCAAATTCATTATTTACATTTCCAACAAGATCTGGAAGATCATAGTGATGAAACATTGATGTTCCATCTTCTCTTAAAAAGTCTACTCCTAATGGTGATATTCTGCATGATAATCTTGTTCTAATCAGTGAACCTGATGAAAGTGGCAAGCTTGGAGTCAGTATAAAGGGGGATATGATCAGAAGATGTCTGTGATCATGTCCTGAGAAGCACCAGGAACACCTCTTACCTCTGTGACCCTCAAGTGAATGAAGAGAAGACCAAGTTGTATTGATCAGTGGTTGGGACATTACAGAACACACCCATGACTGGGTTGTCCTGCTTACTAAACCTAACTGTGAGTGACATTCTGGGGAACTCATGCTTCTAGTTCTACCTAATGCCACAGAGGAAGTAGTGGAAGAAATGCTAGAAAATGAGGCAGACTTCCAGTACATTCTGGAGAAAGCCGCACTAGATAGCGTCCATCAGCATGATCACTTCCTGTGGGAGTCATGATCCAGCTAGCCGAGGGTTTATCACTGGAGCAGTCTTGACACAGTTTGATCAACGTATCAGAAAAAACTTGGAATGCCAATATCTGCTGCCAGATTAACTTGGAATCTTTCCAAAAATACAGAGACAATTTGCCTTATGTTACATGGGTTATTTTAAAAGATAAGACTACATCAGTGCAATCCCCGCATTATAAATCAGAACAGTGCTTGGCAAGGGGCGTTACCACTTACTTGAATAGATTTTTGGCAGATGACCTGGGAGTAAGGCTCCTCCATGGTTGTTATGTTGACCACATAAGTTGAATGTGGCAGGGTTAAATGACATCAATGTTGGCCAAAACCCACAGGAAGTTCATCCTACGGATACAAGCCATCTGCCATTCAGAAGAAGGAAGCACTACCTTTATCTTCAGGAAGATCACACTGCTGTTTAACCAAGAGAAAAATGATAGAGTCTTCCATCACTCAGTTCCATTACATAGGTTGGCCTGACCATGGAGACCCTGATGATTTAGTGACTTTCTGGGTTTTGTTTGTCATGTACAAAATAAAAGGGCCGGCAAGGAAAAAGCCATTGTTGTTTCTTGCAGTGCTGGAGTTTGAAGAACCAGGGTTCTTATCATTATGATTACTATGGAAACAGCCATGTGTCTCATTGAATGCAGTCAGCCAGTTTATTCACTAGACATGGTAAGAACAGTGAGAGAGCAGTGAGCCATGATGGTCCAAACACCTAGTCATAACAGTTTTGCGTGTGACGTGCTATTTTGAAAGCATATGAAAAAGGCTTTGCTAAAGAAAGCAAAAGGAAGAAAGGAACTTTGTCATCTGTTAGGTTCCATTTAAATATTGCATGATAATTGTGTTTTTATTGATTATTGGGTAAGTAGCTATTTGCTATTTTGATCTTATTTCAGAAGGGCATAATAATTTTACTATTCAGTGAAATGTTTTAAACTGGGTAGAAAAAGACTATAGTTTTTGCATATTTTACAGCAGAAACCTTATGATTAACTGGTAATATATTTTGTTGGCATAAAAATACATTTAGAAGCTCAAGAGATTATATAAGTTGACCACATAAGTTTACATATACAGTGTAAACTGTAGATGTAATCTATTCAAATTGAAATTCTTTATAGCTGTACATCTATGTAATCAAAGACTTATTGCGGGGAGAGATAGACTAGCTATTTCTCTATCCATTAATCATTTTACATGGTTTTCAATAAAAAATTCCATTTCATTGGATAATAATAATGACAGTGTAACATATTTTAGATGGTTACTATGTTTTAGGTGTTGTATGAAGTTGTTTACATGGTTTCACTTATTTCACTACAACCCTAGGAGGAGCAGTTATGATTATTACACTCATTTTACAGGCAAAGAAATAGGTATGAAGAACTTGGGTGTTTTGCCCAAGTTCTCATCGTAAGGTGATGGATAAGGATTCAAATTTAAGCCTTAATTCAAGTCCAGTACTTTGGAGCCTACCTCTTAGTGGCTCTCACATTATAGCATAGGGGAGAGTAAACTGTTCCTCTACCTTGTTAGGCTAGCTAGGGCCTGTGAATTAAGAGATTAACAGGAGATGAGAAATGCACATTTTATTGATGTTAATATTTTTACATGCACAGAGTCCTTGGGAAATAAATTAAAATTCAAAGGAGGGTTTTATTTTTATCTGTATTTTAAAGAGACAGGGTCTTGCTTGCTATGTTGCCAGGGCTGGACTCAAACTCCTGAACTTAAGCAATTCTCTTTGAGCCTCCCGAGTAGCAGGGACTATAGGTGTACCCCTGTGTGCTTGGCTAAAGGGGGTTTGTGTGTGATTTTTAAGCAACGATGATAAATTGTAAAGAAGTGACTAGTCAAAGGAAAAGAGAGTTTCAGCTCCTGGGGTGGCAAATTGTGGGAAGATGACTAGGAAATATATAGTAATAAGGTTTGCTGTGCAGATTTATTTTGCCGGCTTCTGGTCTCCCAATAAGGGACAGGGAAACACCTTTACCAATGGAAATTCATATCACCTTTACACCGGCAAATTTATGCCATGCCTTAGGCAGTTAGGGAGAGGATAGAGAACTCTTCTTGTATCTGCTGTTTCTCAGCTGCCTTCAGCTCAAAATAATCCTTATGCCAAAGTAACTTGTTTTGGTGTAACATGTTCTCTGATCCGTTTCAACAGCATCATCTATACTTATTTACAGTGAAAATTTTAAAAAAAAAAGTCATTTCAAGTTTTGCATGCAGAATGCAAATGGACATTATTGAGATAAATGAAGAATATAAAGAATATAATATAAATTCTTAGAAAAGAATATAAATATACAGCATTCTTAAAGAATGCTGTATATTTATGTCTCTGTGATGTGATTCGGAGGCTAAGGTGTTAAGCATGTGATTAATTTAGATTCCATATTACTACCTGTTTTTAAGATTAAAGGAGTTAGGCAGTTAATATATCATGGGAGCAAATTAAAACAACACAAATGGGATCAAGGTGAGGGGAAACTAGTCCACATCTAATCCAGGTCTTCTTGTGAAAGCCAGTTTGTGCAAGATAAATAAATTTGTTTGACTAAAGCAGAATAGTTTTTCATTTGCAGTGAAGATAATTATTCAAAAATCATTTTTATTGGCAGCCTCTGAATTAATCAATGGAAAGATTTTTTTTTTTTCTGTAAAGGGATGTGTGATGAGTTTAAAAAGTGGATGAACCTAAAATTAAATAATTATGAAGAAGCAATGATAAGCAACTTAAAATTAGAGTTATGAAAAGCAAAAAGAAAAGCCATATGTTTTCATGTGCCTTATTTTGAAGTGACAAATTATCTGTAGGATACATTTGTAGAAGCAACTAATGTGATTTTAAAAATGAGTACTAGATTTACAGAATGATGCCTTTAAAAAGTCACTGGTCCTCTTAAATTATTTTATTTATGTTTATTCCGAAATTACCTTTATGTTAAAAATGAGATATAGCTTTACCTACTGGCAACAAAAGTGTAAACAATAATTCAGAAAACATCGGTGAAAAACCAGCTTGGTGTTAGGCTCTCAGGGTAGAAAACTGATCAGGCCATGGAGGAGTGCATAGGCCATAAGGGGCTAGGGACTTGTTATTAGGTGTCCAGTATGTTCTGGATGCTTCTGAGGGAGTGGGGGCAGGTGCTCACCACCATGCCTGGCTAATCTTCTTATATTTCTGTAGAGACAGAGTTTGGCTGTGCTGCCTATGCTGGGTTTGGACTTCTGGGCTTAAGAGATCTTCCCACCCTGCTCCACTGCCCCTGCCTGCCCACTCCTCCTCAGCCTCCCAAAGCACTGGGATTGCAGGCGTGGGCCACCATGCCTGGCCTGTGCAAAACTTTTAAATCAGTGCATATGTAATTGTCTTGATGCAATTCTGGCTTGTTGGTAAGAGAATGGGGATTTACTCACAAGCCAGTATGTCACTTTTAACTCTGAACAGATCAAATTATTGGTTTTACTAATTTATACCATCAATAAACTTTATTAATAAGAACTCATTTGGGCAAATATTTAAACATAGTATGTACATAGCTTGTGCAGTTTCTAAGGAAAGTAATGGAAACCTCAGTCACATCCCTGGCTTCCAGAACTTTACATTATCTAGGTGCATTTATCTACAAAGTTGTTGGGTTAACTGTCCCTTTCTTTTTTCTCTTTTTAAGATACTAATAAACAGTGTCATGACCGAAAGATAACACTTATGGAAAAGATAGACCTAAAAAGCCTTAGCTAATTTATAATCTTGCATAATCCATGATGACAAGATACAGAAACAAAAATGTCCAGAATAAACACTGTTAGCGGCCATTTCCTTTTAAGTCTTTACAAGTGTACTCCCAGTTTCCTTAAAATTTTATTTTAAAATATGTAAGACACACAAAACAACAGAAAGACTAATAGAGGTACATTGAACACCTGTGTACCCCCCGCCCAGTTTAAAAATAAACTGGCTGGTGGACCAGAAGCCCACTGCGTGCTTCTCACCAGCTCCTTCCTCCTACTGGAAGTTGCCCTTTTCTTGAATTCTGTTCTTGGTGGAGACGAAGTGAGTCCTAATCATGGAACCATGTTTCTCTCATACTTACAGAATAAAGTTTTAATCCTTAGCATGGAATTCAAAAGACTTCTGGCATTCTGGTTCAGAGCCACCCTTCCAGTCTCCTTGCTCCTCACCCGTGAGACTGCCCGTGTACCCAACAGGCCTTCAGCATTACTGCTTCCATTCGTTCTTATTTTCATGAACATTTTCCTTCATCTCATCTGCCAAAATTCCACCTAATGATAATCCTTCTGCTCTGCAGTTTACAGTTCTTTAAAATTAAAAAAGGTTGGGTGTCCTTCTAGTTTCCTGAAAAAAGAAAAAACAAAATTTAAAACATGAAAAAGTACTGTATTTTCATAGTATTTGCATGATGTCTTATTACAGTTCCTGAAGACATGTCTGTGTCTTTTACTAGATTGATTGCAGGCTCTTTGAAGGAAGATTTGTCTTATGGTCAGTGTTTTATATATTGTTAGCAATCAATAAATGCTTGCTATATTTTTCTCATGAGGATATTGATTATTCTATTTTAATTTATGACCATTAACCTGTCCTATGCATAACTGTTTTGTGTACATGAGCTATTTATGATCTCTGAGGCTCCTGTGAGAAATCTAATTTTTGTCAATCATGGATGGAAATATTCACAACATCATTTGTCTGTTTCTTCACATTGTCTTTGTATATTACAGTAGTAGATATTTTAAAATATCAAAGTAATTTTTTTTGTTTTATCTTTTAGATATTGCTATATGGAGATTTGCCAAAAAATAAAGAAAATATAATATATTTAGCAAATCATCGAAGCACAGGTTTGTATTTCATTTGCATGAAACTTAGGTTTTTCTGCAGCTGGCACATGGGCATTCAACATACCATTCTTATATTTAAATGAAGTGGGCTTTTTAAAACATGAATTTTCTATGCAGGTATTACACCTGTTCTTGTATTTTTGTGATTTTACTTTTTGGACAGTCAGAAACATGAAAGCTATGAATTTTCCTAAACTTACCTTGGATGTAAGCAAGCTATTTTCTTGTTTGCTTAGTTTTTTCTTTTTGTGTGGCTCTTTTTTTTTGCTTTGTTATTGTATTTTTAATTGTTACTATTTTTTTAGTGCTCTGGTTAAAATTTCATTTTATATATATATATATATATATATATATATATATTTTATTGCACTTTAGGTTTTGGGGTACATGTGCAAAACATGCAGGGTTGTTGCATAGGTACATACATGGCAATGTGGTTTGCTGCCTCCATCCCCCACTCACCTATATCTGGCACTTTTCCCCATGTTATCCCTCCCCAGCCACCCTGCCCCCCAATGTCCCTCCCCTACTCCCCCCCAACAGACACCAGTGTGTGATGCTCCCCTCCCTGTGTCCATGTGTTCTCATTGTTCACCGCCCACCTATGAGTGAGAACATGTGGTGTTTTACTTTCTGTTCTTGTGTCAGTTTGCTGAGAATGATGGTTTCCAGATTCATCCATGTCCCTACAAAGAACACAAACTCATCATTTTTTATGGCTGCATAGTATTCCATGATGTATATGTGCCACATTTTCCTTGTCCAGTCTATCATCGATGGGCATTTGGGTTGGTTTCAGGTTTTGCTTTTGTAAACAGTGCCGCAGTGAACATACTTGGATTTATAATCCTTTGCGTATATACCCAGTAATGGGATTGCTGGGTCAAATGGAATTTCTATTTCTAGGTCCTTGAGGAAGCACCACACTATATTCCACAGTGATTGAACTAATTTACAATCCCACCAACAGTGTAAAAAAGTGTTCTTTTTTCTCCACATCCTCTCCAACATCTGTTGTCTCCAGATTTTTTAATGATCGCCATTCTAACTATGTGAGATGATATCTCAATGTGGTTTTGATTTGCATTTCTCTCATGACTAGTGATGATGAGCATTTTTTCATATGTTTGTTGGCCTTATGTATGTCTTCTTTTGAAAAGTGTCTGTTCATATCCTTTGCCCACTTTTGGATGAGTTTGTTTGTTTTATTCTTGTAAATCTGTTTTAGTTCTTTGTAGATTCTGGATATTAGCCCTTTGTCAGATGGGTAGATTGCAAAAATTTTTTCCCATTCTGTTGGTTGCCGGTTCACTCTAATGATTGTTTCTGTTGCTGTACAGAAGCTCTGGAGTTTAATTAGGTCCTATTTGTCTGTTTTGGCTTTTGTTGCCAATGCTTTTGGTGTTTTAGTCATGAAGTCCTTAGCTCTGCCTATGTCCTGAATGATTTTGCCTAGGTTTTCTTCTAGGGTTTTTATGGTGTTAGGTCTTATGCATAAGTCTTTAATCCATATGGAGTTAATTTTAGTGTAAGGTGTCAGGAAGGGGTCTGGTTTCTGCTTCCTGCATATGGCTAGCCAGTTTTCCCAACAGGGAATCCCATTTATTAAACAGGGAATCCTTTCCCCATTGCTTGTTTTTGTCAGGTTTGTCAAAGATTAGATGGTTGTGGATGTGTGGCATTGCCTCCAAGGCCTCTGTTCTGTTCCATTGGTCTATATCTCTATTTTGGTACCAGTACTATGCTGTTGTGATTACTGTGGCCTTGTAGTATAGTTTGAAGTTAGGCAGCGTGATGCCTCCAGCTTTGTTGTTTTTGCTTAGGATTGTCTTGGCTATGCGGGCTCTTTGTTTCCATATGAAGTTTAAGGTGGTTTTTTCCAGTTCTGTGAAGAAGGTCATTGGTAGCTTGATGGGGATAGGGTTGAATCTATAAATTACTTTGGGCAGTATGGCCATTTTCATGATATTGGTTCTTCCTAACCATAAGCATGGAATGTATCTCCATCTGTTTCTGTCCTCTCACTTCCTTGAGCTGTTCTGTTTATGTGGTGAATTATGTTTATAGACTTGCATATGTTGAACCAGCCTTGCATCCCCAGGATGAAACCTACTTGATCGTGATGGATAAGCTTTTTGTTGTGCTGTTGTAATCAGTTTGCCAGTGTTTTATTGAAGATTTTTGCATACATGTTCATCGTGGATATTGGCCTGAACTTTTCTTTTCTTGTTGAGTCTCTGCCAGGTTTTGGTATCTGGATGATGTTCGTCTCATAAAATGATTTGGGAAGGATTCCCTCTTTTTGTATTCTTTGGAATAGTTTCAGAAGGAATGGTACCAGCTCCTCTTTGTCTGGTAGCATTCAGGTGTGAACCCTTTTGGACCTGGACTTTTTTTGGTTAGTAGGCTATTAATTGGTGCCTCAACTTCAGCCCTTGTTATTGGTCTGTTCAAGGTTTCAACTTCTTCCTGGTTTAGGCTTGGGAGGGCACAAGTGTCCAGGAATTTATCCATTTCTTCCAGGTTTACTGGTTTATGTGCATAGAGTTGTTTGTAGTAATCTCTGATGGTAGTTTGTACTTCTGTGGAATCTGTGGTGATATCCCGTTTATCGTTTTTTGTTGCATCTATTTGAGTCTTCACTCCTTTCTTTTTTATCAACCTGACTAGCAGTCTGTCTATTTTGTTGATCTTTTCAAAAAAACAGCTCCTGGATTTATTGATTTTTGAAGTGTTTTTTATGTCTCTGTCTCCTCCAGTTCTGCTCTGATCTTAGTTATTTCTCATCTTCTGCTAGCTTTGTTTTTGATCTTTCTCCTTTAGCTCTTTCCATTTTGATGATAGGGTGTCGATTTTAGATGTTTTCTCACTTCTCTGGTGGGAATTTATTGCTATAAAATTTCCCCTGACACTGCTTTAAATGTGTCCCAGAGATTCTGGTATGTTATATCTTCATTCTGACTGGTTTTGAAGAACATCTTTATTTCTGCCTTCATTTCATTGTTTATCCAGTTGACATTCAGGAACCAGTTGTTCAGTTTCCATGAAGCTGTGCAGTTCTGAGTTAGTTTCTTAATTCTGAGTTCTAATTTGATTGCACTTTGGTCTAAGAGACTGTTATGATTTCTGTTCTTTTGCATTTGCCAAGGAGTGATTTACTTCCAATTATGTGGTCAATTTTAGAGTAGGTGCCATGCAGTGCTGAGAAGAATATATATTCTGTGGAGATTTCTGTAGATGTATATTAGGTCTACTTGGTCCAGATCTGAGTTCAAGTCCTGGATATCCTTGTTAATTTTCTGTCTCATTGATCTAATATTGACTATGGAATCTTAAAGTCTCCCACTATCATTGTGTGGGAGTCTAAGTCTGTTTGTATGTCATCAAGAACTTGCTTTATGTATTTGGGTGCTCCTGTATTGGGTGCATATATATTTAGGTTCGTTAGCTCTTCTTGATGCATTGACCTTTTCACCATTATGTAATGCCCTTCTTTGTCTCTTTTGATCTTTGTTGGTTTAAAGTCCATTTTATCAGAGACTAGGATTGCAACTCGTGCTTTTTTTTGCTCTCCATTTGCTTGGTAAATCTTCCTCCATCCCTTTATTTTAAGCCTATGTGTGTCTTTGCGTGTGAGAAGGGTTTCCTGAATACAGCACACTATGCGTCTTGACTTTTTATCCAATTTGCTAGTCTGCGTATTTTGATTGGAGCATTTAGCCCATTTACATTTAAGGTTAATATTGTTATTGGTGAATTTGATCCTGCCATTTTGATGCTAGCTGGATGTTTTGCCCATTAGTTGACACATTTTCTTCATTGTGTCAATGGTCTTTACCATTGGTATATTTTTGGAGTGGCTGGTACTGGTTGTTCCTTTCCTTGTTTAGTGCTTCTTTCAGGAGTTCTTGTAAGGCAGGCCTGGTTGTGATGAAATCTCTCAGCAATTGCTTGTCCATAAAGGATTTTATTTCTCCTTCATTTATGAAGCTTAGTTTGGCTGGATATGAAATTTTAGGTTGAAAGTTCTTTTCTTTAAGGATGTTGAATATTGGCCACCACTCTCTTCTGGCTTGTAGGGTTTCTGCAGAGAGATCTGCTGTGAGTCTGATGGGCTTCCCTTTGTGGGTAACCTGACCTTTCCCTCTGGCCGCCCTTAGTATTTTTTTCTTCATTTCAACTCTGGTGAATCTGACGATTTTGTGGCTTGGGGTTGCTCTTCTTGAGGAATATCTTTGTGGTGTTCTCTGTATTTCCTGTACTTGAATGGTGGCCTGCCTTGATAGATTAGGTAAGTTCCCCTGGATAATATCCTGAAGTGTTTTTTTCAGGTTGGATTCATTCTCTCCATCACATTCAAGTACACCTATCAAATGTAGATTAGGTCCTTTCATATAATCCCATATTTCAAGTGCTGTTCTGGGAGCTCTGTTGTTCCGTACAGAGCTGCTGGGCAGGTACCTTTAGGTCTGCTGCAGTGGAACTCATAACCGCCTCTTTTCCCAGGTGCTCTGTCTTAGGAAGGTCATCTTTATTTATAAGTTTCTGACGTGCTGCTGCCTTTTTTCATAGATGCTCTGCCCCGTACGGAGTAGTCTAGTCACAATCTGCCAGCAGAGGTGGTGTTGAGCTGCCACAGACTCTGCTCAACTGCTGTGTGAACTGCCTAGGTATTTGCAGACTGCCTCAGTAGTGGTGGATGCCCTTCTCCCGCACTGAGCTGGACCATCCCAGTTCCAGCTGCACTGGCTGCAAAACTCTCAATCCAGAACGTTTCAGATTGCTTGTTTTGTGGGTGTCATACCTGCCAAGCCAGATCACCTGGCCCCGTGTCTCTGCCCCCTCCCTTTCAGTTGAATGGGCAGCTCTGTCTCCCAGGCTTTCCAGGTGCCTGTTGAAACAGCCGCCCAGATTTGTGTGAGTTTCTGTATGCCAACCTGTGGCACCGGCTGAAACAGCTGTGCTGAAAACTCGTGGTGCTTTTCAGCCCGGGAATCTGC